CAGAATCTAGATGTAGAATTACGAAGGGTCACAGGTCAGTGACATCACTCAAGAACAAAACAGATCTTACTTTTTTAAGTGTGTAAAGTAAAAACTTCTCTCTTCAGAGCCTATTCATCACTCTCACGTCCTGCCTGCACGGTCAGTTTCTGGGGGTTTGGACAAATGAAGCTGCTCTCCCAGAGAGGTGGCCATGTGTACAACAAGCGTCTATCAGGAGCCAACCAGATGCCAGGCTGAGCCCTGGTCAGCCTTCTGTTCTCAGGGAAGGGACACCTTCCTAAAGCAGGTCCCTTTTCAGTGTCAAAGAAACTGAAGCAGAAAGAAGTCTCTGCCCCAAGAAGACACACTGATTGAGTGGAAGCACGAAGGAGAGACTTGGGCCACAGTTATGACCCCCCCACCCACCTGGCTCTCTACCAAACAATATCCCACCTCAAAGCAGGGCCTCCTCCTCTGTGGCCAAAACAAGGGTCTCAGGAGGTAGCACCATGGGAGTACACGGGTGTGGTCAGAGGGACGAGAGCCCTGAATGGATGCTTCAACTCTCACCCCTCACCCCATCATAGAGCCTACCAGGGGCAGGCAGGGGCTCCAACTCCAACTTTCTCTGACAGAGAGTAAGTAGGAGATTTAGGTGCATTAGGTCCAACATGGCAGCAGGGCACCATGGAGAAAGGCCTCTGTTTCTGGCAGAAGCTGGCTCAACATCCCAGGCTGCTCCCAGCAGGACCTCCTGGCACAGAGCTGCTGCAGCTGACCCTCCAGGACAGGGCTCCTTCTCTCCCTAACCTTCCCTACAAGGGTGATGTGAAGACACACAGTAAATGACTAATTTAAAAATAATCACTGAGCCCGGCCAGGCGTGGCTCAGCAGTTGAGTGTTGACCCAGGATCCAGGCAATGGGGGTTCGATTCCCAGTCAGGGCACATGCCCGGATGGCGGGCTCGATCTCCAGTCGGGAGCGTGCAGGAGGCAGCCGGTCCATGACTCTCTCATCATGGATGTTCTATCTCTCTATCCCTCTCCTTTCCTCTCTATGAAATCAATAAAGATATATATTTTTAAAAACAATAAAAAATAATAATAATAAAAATACTCACTGACTAAAAAAAGGAGACAGTAGCAAGTAACAGTATAAGAAGTCACCTACACTCCTCCAACAGTATACCTATGGTCAGACTGGGGACAAGAGAAATCAGCGCAGTTTGAATTCTTTTAATAATGTGACTTTTAACAACAATGCCATCTGGAACAAAGCCACAAATGCCTGTGAATATCTGAAAGACCAGCCTCAGGCCCATGCATCTTTCTCCAAGGTCCCATAACCAAAATTAATGACAGAATCTTAATTTCAACCCTAACAAATTTGGCCATTTGGCTTCCCCACAAAACAAGAGATTAGACGAAGGATAAGGAATGATCACTATAAGAAGATGTGCAGTCTACGGCCATACCACCCTGAACACACCCGATCTCATCTGATCTCGCAAGAAGATGTGCATCACCAAAAATGGAGGGAAGAGAACAGGAAACAGCTGAACACACCAAAAGGCCCAGTGCTGCCTCAAACCTGCTCATAGCCACAGCCATCCCTTGAAATGTAGCTTCCAATTAAACCTCCCATTCTCCATGGTCTGCAAGTTAGTCATCTTTCCAGATCCTTCCTCCCCACGCTGAGGAAGCACTGGAACACTGCTGCCCTAAGCCCCCATGTCTATAACATACCAGGTGCTCACACGCTGTCATCTGACCCATAGCGGACTTGCCACATGCCACACCCCTACATGGGACAGGACCAAGATCTCCTGATATTTAATTTAAAGAAAATATATAACTCAAAAAAGGATGGTTCACTGTCAGAAACATGTTACACGGTTATGTAAATGTAGTATAATAAACTCCACACAATGTAAAGACATCAGATCTCTCTCCCGGAAATAAAGTTCACTGCGGACTTGACCCAGCACCAGCAGCAGCAGCAGCAGCAGCAGTGGTCAGACAGTACACATTTCCCTCCTGTCTCCTGCCAGGTAACCAAGGAAGAGGTGCTTTCACAGAAGCTCTGCGCTGACTTAGAAAACACTCTGCCAACACAAGCAAGACCAGCAACACACATCTTAGAAGGAGAAATGAGGAAGCCTGTGATATACATGACTGTATCACAGGAACAGAAGTGGGAAGGGGCTCGACAGCCCCAGCATCTGGAAGAAAGTATTCCTGGTCACCAGCACCTGAGGGATGTTTAACTGCTCTGAAAGGATTTTGAGTGTTGGTGCTTAATCAGACTTAAATAGCATTTAACACCCACCGAGTAAGAATTCCGCATGAAGCTGATGAGACGGTCAGTGAATCTATGAACTAAAAAGACATGTAATTTTGTGATAGTCATTTTTATGTAATTTTTAAATTATGTCACTAATACATAAATTTCTTTGTGAGCTTCTATAATTCAGGAGCATTTTCTGTTCCCCAGAGTTGAGGCAGCTATTCAACACCTTTTGCCCCACAAAACTGGAGTGAGCCTGGTGTTAGTTTTCAGTAAATCAAACACCAACACTTATACCGGGACTGGAAACTGGGAGTAGCTGCCTGGAGCGGTAAGGAGGGAAGATTCTAAGGCCAAGTCTGGCTAAAGGGGAAAGAGCCCTAGATGCCCAGGGCCTATCCCCTTGTGGGCGTGAGAGAGACTAGAGAGAAGGGAAAGAAAAGGGGAAAGAAAAGAGACAGAGACGGAGGTGGTGTGGGGAGAGGGGAGAGATGGGACAACAGGTGATCCTGCCTCCTGCACTGCTATGTATCTTAGTCAGCCCTACCAGTGATATTGGGTTGAGTGGGGTGTTCTGTGTCTTGCAAAACACTATTCTGTTTCACAAGTACTTGGTCAATTTAGAAAACAAAGCTGTTATGAGCAGGATAACTTAACAGATAACTTACTCAACAGGAACAAGAACTGGATAGATGATAAAATAACAAAAAACTATTTCCACAATGAAAAACAAGAAAGGATTAGCTAAACAGATGTTTAACAGAAAAGGGCAGCTTCTTATGAACACATAACTGTTTATTTAAATCAGGAAGCAGAGTTTCCTTTAAAAAAGAAAAAGGCACTGGGTTCCAAAATTCCCTTAGCCACCATCAGCATCAGTCCGTCCTTTACTTACGTTCTGTCTTTAACTGGAGGTCACAAAAATGTGACCAACAATGAGAATCAGGTGAAGGTGGGAAGGCAGCATGGGATTTTATAGGCAGAATTCAGATGACTAATTATTATTTGTATGACACAGAAAGAGATCAGTGCAGTAGTTCTATTTATTTTGTAGTGAGGTTACTAAGAGAAACAGTTAGTGGGAACCTGGAGAAAGACATGCTTGAACAGATATAAATCGGTGGTAAATCCCGACTGCTCGTATAAACAGCCCGATGAGCCATGGACACAAACTCTGGCGAAGCAGCAGCACTTGGTGAATGTGCAGAATGGGAGAGCACAGAAAACACTCCTGTTTGGAGAAGTTTCAGAAGATGACTATTCCGATGTGAACTGTAGGAGTCCATCCTGAGTTGACAACTATGGATGAAGCTTATGTGCCTGCTATACCTGTCCACAAAAGTTGGGTTCTCTGCCTTCAAGACTTATGTGTAATTGTGTTGCCTGATTATAAACAGTGACATGATAGCAACATAATATAAAAACCTGATTATATTTCAAAATCCCTGGTGGTATTCTGCTCAGGAATATAGGCAGAAACAACAGGAAAATCAGAAGCAACAGACTTATTTTTCTCATCAACTGAAGTCCAGCAACATTTTAATTAGGATCAAATCTCACTCTCAGTATGAATACAAACCCACTAAATTGTCAAAAACAAAGAGATAAATTTCTGATAGTTTATCCCCTACCCCAGCCCGACATCTCGTCTCTTCAAAAGAAACATCAAATTGAAGCTGCTGAGAACTGACTTCTACTGGGCCTGGCTCACAACTTTATCACCAAGACAGCTCAGAGAAACAACTGTGAATTTTTTTTTAATTTGCAATTCTTTAGCTTTTGGGCTCTTTTCCATGGCAGCAAAGTTATATTTATATATTAATACTGCTTCAGGACACTGATTAAAACCTCATGTGTATGTTCAAGAAGAAACTTTCAAACCAAGAAACTCCAGTTTAAACAAATGCTTTAAGGTCTGCTGCAATTCTCCCGAGGCGCTCTGAGGGTTCAAGAGAAAAATCCAAGGGGTGTAACTACTCTTTCACTTCCTAGTCCAGCAACACATGTTCTCCACGATCTACTCCCAGCAGAAATCAGGCCCTCACCGATGATGACGGGAAAACAGGTGTTTCAAAGGGGAGTTTGTACTTGGTTTTGAAAATAACAAGCATTATCTTGACAGTAAACAAGCTCTGTGTTTATGGTTCATATGTTTTATAAAAAAGGAAGATCATCCAGGCTCTTTGTCATAATTACAAACATCACTTTAATAGAAACTCTTCAAAAGGACATGAAGATTTTAATCCTTGAATTTACCAGCAATTTCACTAGATCTTAGAAAGCAAAGCACTCCCTAGAAACCCTCACAGTTGGCACTCTTCACCAAGTGTGTTACTTTTTGTCGAGACTAGAAAAAAGGCAATAGCTGGAGTTTGACAGCAATACCCATGAACAAAATCTACCTTGTTCTGATATATAGCTACTATACAAACACAGTAATCAACAACATGTCAATTTATAGAAAATGGGGATAAACTGATGGGAGTTTTCATCTGTAAGACAAAGAGCTACCTGAAACCCCAGAGAAGCAGATGTAGCCCAGAGCCCCGCAGTGTATATGTCCCACTTCCTTCAGCATGTCCTTAGCCACCAAGAGTAAAGCCAGTATTTCCCTGGGGCTAATGCAACGACTCCCTCTGGTTCCCCTTCCTCACTCCCTCCCTGTGGCAATGCAGTGTCTGACCATCCACCACAGAAAGCAGCACGAAGTGAAGGCAGGCGAGCACTTACCTGCCCATCCTGTCCCACATGGTGTATCTGTAGATTGCCCTGTAAAATGGATGAAAAAAGGGCAATCAAGAACAAAACTAATTTCAAGACCTAGTGGCAGGAACTTCCCGATGCCATTGGTGAATACCAGCAAAACCAGTTACAACAATTCTATAAAAACTCAACCCTCGTAGCAATAAAAACCCAAAGCAAAATATTTAAGCTGAGTTTACAGGTTACTATTTTTTCTTATAAAAACAAACCCACTGTATCCCTCTGACCGCAAATGCAACTGTAATTTTTTTCTAACTTTTATTTTGAGATAATTTTAGACTCACAAAGAGAATCAAAAGTGGTATAGACAGAGGTCCTATACCCATCACCCAGCTTTCCCCAGGGGGACACCTTACATGATAATAGTGCATTATCACAAGCAAGAAATTGGCAGAACACAATGCAATTAACCAGATCACAGGCGTACTGGGATCTCACCAGTTGGAAATTCATTTTCACATATTTAAAAAAATAACAATTGCTTTAAGTTTGGTATGTTCTGTTAAATGTCCCTTTGCAGACATCCTCATTTTGACAAAATAATTAATTTTTAAGTGAACAAGGTAAAACTTGATTGTGATAAGAAGACAACTGCATATTATAACTTATTACAAAGTAATCATTAGTACTATCAGCAATTTCTTCTAATTCATTGCATGCAATTCCTAATGGAATAAAAAAAATATTGGATTATTTACACAAGAGGGATTCAGTTATGAAAACTGAAAAGGGGGAGAATTGATTTAAAAAATTAAAATTAAGAAACATTCTAATGATTTCTTTAGCAAAAACAATGTAAAAAACAAATGTATGTTGATTCATTCCTTTTATTATTATATCAATTTTCCTTCTTTCCCAATGACTACCAGCAAATCAAGCATCCTGATTGAGTGTACGTGCCTTCTAGACTGATACCTCTCAGTTGCCGTTTGGCCTCCACTTGTCAGTGCCTTTAAAAATGAAGTCGCCCTGTCCCTCAAAGGGACACCCTGCTTAGTCTGTGGGTTTCCTTACAACCTGCATTAGGGTGAGCTAGCAGATTCCTCTCCCATTGCCATCCAGCTCCTTAACTCTGACGGTCAGGCCTTCCAGAACCATCTTCAAGTTCACTGTCTGCTGCTCTCCTTCCCCTGCCCGAAGCTTTAGCTACGCCAGTGTGCTTTCTCCCATTCGCTCATTTGGCCACATGAAGATTAGTGAACTAATCATTCCTATGAATGAATCAACCCCCTCTGACCAGGTATTAACTGTTCCTCTCACAGGAATTCACTCAGCCAGGTATCCCCGTTCTCCCCTCAGAACCTATGCTATCTCCTCCCTTTGCATGCTGGGCCCACTGACAACCTTCAGGGTCTGAATGAAAGAACTTCCCTTATAAAGCATCCCAGAGCCCCTCTCTCACGAGCCCCCCATTCTCTGCACCAGTGAATGCACGTCGCTTCTAGCCCTCCTAGCACAATCACCTCCGTATACTGTCGGGAGCCTCTAACTCACATTTTTACACAGCAGCAACAGCCAGCACAGCAAGGTGCGCAAAAGGAGAGCTCAGCAAAGGACTCATACTCGAGACAGTAAGCAAATTACTGCCACTGCCACTGCCTCCTCAGCCCCCTAGGTTCTAGGAACTGAAAAGTCAAAAGGGCTCTCATGTCATATCTACTTAAGGAAAGCAGCCTAGGTTGCTGCTAGAATACAGAGAAATGTCCACAACGCACCTCTGAAACGCTATCAGGCACCACTAAACTAGTCAAACGCTTCCCTCGAGAGGTCCTCCTAAAAGGCTCTTTGACAAGTCAGGACTTTCACAGTTACTGCTGATTCTGTACCTGCTTTCCAGGTTGGTGTGTGAGGAACCCTGACACCATGTAAGAACACACCACAGTGCAGGTGTGTTCTATCTGGTACTATCTTCCCGGCCTAGAAACAAGTATGTTCTTCAACACCCAGCCCACACTGCAGGGGGCACGCCGTTCCCTATCATGCTGGGTTAGCAGAGGGCATGTGCACTGCTCGGCAGCCATGGGACAAAGTCAGAGGAAGCCAAGTACACTGAGTCTGCTGACGCTATCCTGTGCTGTAGGAAACAACCAATGGTGTCCCCGCAACAGATAGCCACCAACCACTTATGCCCTGTACAAGGCAGGAAAGGCAAGATTCCCCAAGAGGAGCTCCAGAGAATATCAGCACCATGACTGTCTAGCCTCACCTTCCAACAACCCAGGGTCTACCTGACCTTCATGCACCGACCCCCATAGCAGCTGATACGCATATGCAAGAGCATTTCTGCAGCTGGTCCCTGCATTCTGTCCTTATCGTGAATTACAATTAATGAAAAGTAGAATGCCGAAGCACTGCCACCAGTGATAAGAAGCCTGGATCTCATGAACTTAGGGCAGCTGAGGGAATTCTAGAAGTGGCAGGAGTGAGGAGAACCATGAAAAGATGCACTGAAAACTTGCAGGACACACACATGCTATCTCACCAAACCAACCCACAATATGCACATTGATCCTCCAGAGACAGCCAAGGCCCATGGAGGTGAGGAGAACTTGTGAGGTCACAGTCACAGGAGCAGGGCCCCACCTCCTGCTTTTCCCACTCTGGCATGCTGGGGAGCTCCCTGGGCGGGAGAGCAGGGCCAGAGAGCAATGCTGGGGGCTAGGTCTGCATCTCATGTGGGAAGACGAGAAAAGCAGGGTGGGCTGGAGAAAAGGAGAGCTCAGAGGGCAGCTCTAGCCAGGAGCAAAAACCTGGATATAGCAAGTGTTGGCAAAGAAAACCAGATGGGGCTGCCCAGATAAACCATCAGTGTAGCAAGAGCAGGACAGGTAAGGCCAGGAGTCTGTGCCCAAGGAAACGAGAGACAGTTGGTCAATGCTGGGCATCGTGTTGTCTGGGGACTCCCAGTTGTCCACCTCATTTGACAAAGGTCAGAATGCAGAAAGCCCTCAGGCATACAGTGGGCCCTGGGAAGTGCTGTGGCCACAACTCACCTCACTGTCCTGCGTGATCTGTACCTGCTCCCCTTGAGGCACCTGAGCGATGTGAAGGTGACCCTGTGGGATCCGCAGCGAGAGAAGATAACAAGAAGCATCAGAAGAAAATCAAAACTAGAGGAAACAGAAAATGCTTTCCGAAATTTTTTTCTTGATTATCTGCTCACAATTCAAAAAAAGACAGCTAAACCCTGAATAGTGCAATATAATATGTGCATAGTATCAGCTACTAAATAGCCCCTTGAAATTAAAACTTTTGGTATGTAACACATACAAAACATTTTGCAGTAATTCTTAAAGCAATGGGGCCTAGGAAAATTCTGTTAAGTCTTTAAATTTGCTTAAACTAAACCAGCAAATTTCAGAAGGTGAAGGACATACAGAAAAAGGAAACAGAATTTTCCAGAAAATCAGAATAACTTTTTTTTAAAAATCACACTATTAACTCAGAGTGATCGGAGACCTCGTGGAACTACACGGCAGAGTCTCCCAGCGATCTGGGAGTGCAGGATGGCTACACAGCGGTGTGGGATTGCGGGGAGGGGAGATGTACATGTGCATCTACACCGAAAACAAGTCAGACAATATTTTTTAAACCAAAGAAACACTTACATGACTATTTAAACAGCTGGAATAAACACAAATAAATCAAGCATCCAACTATACAATGCATTTATATCTGTAGCTACAGGCAAATAACTACTGTAGAAATTTCTATTGATTTCATTTTACTATGTCTATGTAAACCCTGTATCCAAGTTATCTATTCTGGAATTCTTTCACAAAACTTTCTAAGGTAAGAGCAGCTGGCTTTATAGCTGTCAATTAAACAAAGAATTCACTATTCACAAATGCTTCATCTCCTCTGAAAGAAGAAAAAAACCCATCTGAAAGTCCTCATCGGCACTTTCTGGAAGCCCACCCCTTTCTAGGCAGTGTCCTGAGTGCAACAACAAACTGAGGCCACCCTGAGATGAAATCGGGGTTCCTGGAGAAAGCCCTGGTGATGCAGCCATACAAAAAGAGTCTGGGCGTGACTCAAACATCAAAAGGATCCCAGGGGCACACTGAAACGGTCCCATTCCCTAGCAAAGTTCCTGCCCCTGACACCTCAGCCACAGGACCCATACAGGATCTGGAGGAACTTCCACCTGGGCTGGCACTGCCACAGACAGCTCATTGTTGAGCTAACTGCCCACACGAGCTCAGCACATATCCCACAATCAAAAGAAAGTGCTACACAATAACTGAAGCCACCAGCTTTTGCCACTGACCCCAGAAGGAAATTACTTTTTCTTCCCCCAGTAAAGGGGTGCCTGTGTTTCTGAAATGAGAAAATATCTATGATATATCTATGACAACTCCCAGGAAGACAGGCAGAATCATGGACCCTTAGAGCTGACAATGACCATTGGGCGTAGCACAGTGGGGGGCCATGAAGGGCCCTTGACAATGACATGGCCACTCAGTAATCACCGTCATTATGAAACGTAAGAGCTCACACCCTAACTACTTCTACTTTAACTTGCACTTTTCCCTCATCCCAAGCTATCCATGTGATCCAGAAACGCAGAGAGGACTGGTCTTGGCCTTCCCAATCCCCACCGCACCCTCCCCTCCAATTCATTCATGGAGACAGACTAGCAGAAGGGTACATACTACTTGGACCTGTCCGTCCTCTCCAATCTGGTGGATCTGGACCTGCTGGGCATTGGCCAAGGCGTAGTGCAGGGCCTGTGGCTGGGGCTGTGGTATCTCAGTGGCGGGTGGCGGCGTGCTCATCATGCTCTCTGTGGGGAAAGACAGGCTCAGCATCAGCCCAACAGATGAGCCATACATGCACAAGTCCAGGCTGCCTTCTCTTCCCCAATCCCCACCCCAAACTCCCACAGAAGAAGAAAGGAAAAGTTTCATTCTGAAATCCAAGTCAACATGTCCTAATGAATACCAAGGCATTTTGTAGAGCTCATTAAAATCAGCATTAAATAACAGAGATTTCTGACCTGTAGATAGAAGGAATCTAATGAACAGGCTATTCTCATCTACTTCTTTAAATGAGTTCCTCAGGATATATCGACAAAATTAAAAATAGGAAAAATTAGATATTAAATTCTGTTTTAAACCAGCAATAAGTAATATCTGTCTTTGGATAATTAAACTACAGAAAAAAGCTCCACTCACTTATTTAAAGATACACTTTAAATAAAATTTTACTTTCTACTTTTAATCCAAAATGATGTTTGTTTTGATGGTATGTATTAATTTTAACTGCAAAATCTCTATGAGAAAATTTTTCTTGAACACTTAGAGCATTAAGGGCTCAGAAAATAATTTAATTTTCACATATTTTGTGGCAGAAAATTATGATAAATCAAGAAGACCTTTAAACATAAAAACATATTACGTTCGGATGAAATTCTATGAGAGAAGTGGATTAGTAATATGAATGAAAAAAGAAAAGTTATAAAATGTCTGATTACTAAAGAAAAACTTTTCAAACATTTTTTAAATAATTTAATGGTGGGCATCAAATTGACATGGTATATAGAGTCCACTACATATATATTTTTAAAAGTAATACAGCAATATGCCAGAAATTACATCCTTTTAAATTATTTCAAAGTATAATGAAAAATTTTAGGTGTCAACATTTTAAAATGCCAACTTAAAAATATGCAAGGAAGAACACTTTTTCAAACTTCTTTAAGAGGGTACTGACCAAAATATTTAAAATCCACTCTGCTGGTTAATAAGAACTATAAAACTAAATAGGTTACCAAATAATGTCTGCTCCAATGTTAATAAAAATCAACACATTTTGCTGGTTTTAAAAAATATAACCAAAAACAGTAACAGTCCCCAGTGTTCTTAAAAAAAACCAGTAGAATACAGGACTTGTGGGTATGATGGTTCCCAAACCTAAAATTCAAATTATTGAATTTATCATTTAATCAATAGCTCCCTATAATTATACAACATGAACACCAATTTAAATTCATGTTTAGTAATTTTTACTGATATCAAAATCTAGTACAAAAACTTGCATTGATGACTTGTTTGTGATCAAGAACAGAACAAGATCTACAGCCAAGTGATGGGAGACAGGTGTGGTCATGCTGACACAAGATCAAGGGATAGTGCTGAGGCAGCTCTGGAACACTGAGCCCACTGGAAGAAACTGAAGCAGAAAGGACAGGCCACCCAATGGGCCTCCTCCCCTCCCTGGGCTGGCTCTTCCCTGCATCCAGTGGAAAATCAGCTGTAAGAGCTGGCTCCCTGCAACTCTAAAATATTGGGCACTAAATAGATGCCTACCTAAGGTCTTCAACTCATCAATGAGACCTGTGGGGAAAAAATGCTGAATTGTATTTTAAACAATAAAATGTAGCCACCTTAAATTGTATAGTGTTGCTAGATAAGAGAAAGCAACTCAAATGTTTTAATAAACTGATTTTTTTAAATGCCTTGAAACTAGTGGTTTTATGGTTTGTGTTCAAACTGGCAGTACTAACCTTGGCTCAGGATCTTATTTATAGCATTTATTTGGAAGTTCCTTTGATGTTAGCTGATAATTCAAAAGTAAGCAAGACACCCCAGCTGGAACTACTACCAACAACAAAATCCTGGTTTAGTTACATTTTACTGAATTATTTCTGTCACCAGAATATCCTTAAACATCAGATTTGCTTTGTTAGGCTGGGTATGCAAAAAGAACAATGACAAAAATTCCGTAAGTCTCTTCAACCACCTATTTTGCTTTACCTAGCTTTAGCCAAGTATGTAGTACATTAAAACAGAGAACAATTAAATCAATAGAAATTTACAAAGCAATGTACTTTTCTTAATGTTTGATTTAAAAAATGAATATGTTCTGTGTTTCTCTCAAAACTAATCTGATTCCAGCACTCGCGAAGCGGCAGCCCTCAGACCAGGAAGCCTCTGGCCTCTTGCAAACTGAGCAGGAAGGCAGTGCTTCAGAGTTTATTAGTAGGAGCATGAGACTAAATATAATAGCTCAGAAACTCATTCTTCATCCTCTCCAGACAAGCAAACACCTGAAGGCCAAGGGAATGTAATTACGCTCATCTCCCTCCTGGGTGTTTTTAAAGCCCTGACTTGAATGCCACTCTCCTCTTTACCCACCCACCTATGTCTCTGTTCCCTCCTACTCCAAACACCTGGCAGAGAGCAACATGGTAAATAACTGGGCAGAGGGAGGAAGTAAAAGAGCTGCTCAGTATGGAGCCCGACATGGTCCTAACTGTACCCATCATTCTGCCCAGCCCCACGGGGCATCAGTGTGTGGTGGTCCTGGTTCCCATGCCCTCTTCTATTGCCACCAAGAACCTCGAGTGGGTCTGGCTGAGGCTCCCCACCTATCACAGAAGCAGCATTCCCTAAATAACTTCCACTGATGTGTGTACACAGAGTTAAGGCTTGAATCACTGGGATCCAAGTGGCAGCTCTAGATTCTGCGGGTGAGGGGCCTCACTCGGGATCAGCCTCCCAAGTCCTGCAACGCAAACTGCTTCAGGCTGCTCCCCTAGGCATACCTGATGCACTGTATGAGGATGAGGAGGGTGTTCTCCGAGAGAAGCTCTTCACGGCTAGGCTCTGGCCTCGCTGTTTCCGCCGCCAGGCTGTCCTGCATTTGGAGTCGATGCTCTGTTTTATTCGGTACCAGTCAGATTCCGTGATTCCAAATTTATAGAAGAGGTGACCTGGAAGAAGATGTCCCAAATAAAAGCACCATGAGGTGAAGGCCTTCCTTTTGGGTCCTGGCTGTTTGGGAGCAATTTGAACATAAAAATGTGATTGGGACTGAGAGCCTCCCCGACATGCATGCTGGTTATATGTTATAAATTCTTTTCATTTATTTAACTTTTAAATAACTCTGACTGGACCCATCCACACCAGACAGAAAAAAGGCAACAAGCTAGGTGGTGAGGGGTCACACGAGCTTCCCAAATGCTCCACGAACTTTTCTCTAACTTCTTGGATGTCAAAAATCAAATCAAAGATCCCAACAATTTTATCAGAACTGGTTTTCCAGACTCCAGCTCTATTGATTCATATATTCCTGGCTGTCTCCCTCCCTTCTTTCAAGTCCTGGCTCAAATAGGGCCTCAATAATCCTACCCTTATCCGGCCCCTTTGACCCCAAGGTTCCTCTCACCTCTACCTGTCCTGGGTCTCTAACAACTTAGAGAATTTATACATTTATTGTGTTTACTCTTTGTTTCTCTCCCAGATACAGGGATCTTTGTTTTGTGCACCCATTTATTCCAAGAACTAAGACTATACAGGCCCATAGTAGATGCTACAACACACGATGACTTGGTGACAACTCTTAAAACATCTCCATTGCTACTTGAGTCTGCTCCTGGTTTATGTATAACTCTCTATGTGTTTCCATCTGCCTCCCCAATCAGAATGGAAACTCCCTAAGGGCAGAGGTGATGTTTTATTGCCTAGAGTCCCGCACATACAAATACATGGGCTCTACCTCCATGGAACTGCCGGCTACGGAGGGTGCATGTAGTCTTGCAGTCCAACAGTTTATCCTGAGCTCAACAGAGCATCTTAATGGCACTCACATTTGTTAACCTCTTACATCACAGACAGCTCTCTATATGTGACTGAACAGCATCCAGAGACCCCTTATCAACAAGGGATCCAGTGATATGAGAGGCCACTGGGTAGCGGATGGAGACCTCTCACTGCAACCCTGCCTACTAGACCACACCACCTCTTCTTTATGCTGAATCAACAGAAAGTAATGATCATGAATGTGGGAACCATAAGAAATGCTTCAGCAGGGTGACCTTCTCTCTAGCTGGCTTATGAAACTTCCCTGATTAATGGAAAAACAAATGGATGTAATTCAAAAATTGAATAATAAAAAGATTAAGCTGAAAAACATCCTGTTTTGACTACTAAGAGCATTAAGTTAGGACCATCTACTGAGAATTAACTTGATTCACAATTCCTAAAATCTGTTCCTGTCAAGACCAAAATACTACAAATAATTAAAAACAAAGGGAATCAAGTTCTTAAGTACCATATTAAGTATCGAAAGTTTCTTTTGTCTTGGAAAGACATTTCTGGATTTTTCTATGAGCATCTCCTTAAAACATCTTTGATTCTAAATATAATGAAAACAAAAATTTTTGTAATCTAGATAAAAAAGAAACTGGGTTAAGGAGGGGTAAAATTTATAGGATCAAAAATAACAAAAACCTGAGGTAGTTTTACCACTTTGTAATCCTCATGCATAAAAGGAAATACATAAATGAAGCAGCAACTCTTTGCTTTCTGATTTTCAGGTCATCTCTAAAATATTCACAGAATCATTAATTAATATCTACTAAGTGATTGCTACATGCAGGCTATGGCTTTAGGTGCAGGGGGTGGCCTCACAAAGTTCTGGGTTAGGGACCAACGTTAGTGACAAGAAAACTCAACCACTGCTGTAGTTGCAGAACCCAAATATTAACTGTATACTCACCAGAGAACCCAACTCCCGGCTATAGTTACAGGGGAGTGCAACTGCCAGAACTACAGTTATGTAGCTACAGGAGAACCCAACACCTGACTGTAGTTACAGGGAAATGCAACTACCAGAACTAAAGTTATGTAGCTACAAAAGAACTCAACTCCTGGCTGTAGTTGCAGAGAAGCCCAACTACAACTGTGGTCTCCAAGACAAGTTAAAAAACAGCAATCACACACAGTATCAAAATATCTTATTAGGTATATCCTTCAATAAAGAGAAACATTCTACAAACCCTCCTCCTGTTCTCACACCCTCACACTCAAGGAAAAAAACTTTCCAAATGCCTCAAAGGATTAATGAAATTATACACAATTTTAAAAACTTGTCAGGAACAGAAAATATATACAAGACACACATGGGTGTATAAATATAAGAAATGAGCAAAAACATTAACATGTAAATTCAACTTGTAAAAACCAATTTGCCAGTTAAAAACCTGGCTTATATCCTTTGAAGAAAAAAATATACATTTATGTAGTTATATATTATCCATTTTTAAATTCTCCTAAGACATCATATTACATAATTCCTTCCAAAAGCAACTCAAGACTCAACTGGATGGCAAATGCCATCCTGATGACTGCCAAGAAAAACTAACTAATGAATCAGCAACACAAATGTTCCCCTGCTGAGAGCCCTAGGGGGAGAGAACAGGAGAATGGATGGAATGGGGCACAGCTCTGCCCTCAGAAACCCTGTCGCATCAGCGGGCAACTCCAGGAAGGAGCGCTGATAGAGGGTGCAGCCTCCTGACCACACACTCTACTGGATACTGCTGTTCTGACTTTTCCAAAAGTGTTCATTTGAACTCAGCTGGTACTTCACACTTGTGAAGCATTTTACCTCTTAAGTTATTTAATGTTCATAAGCAAACCTCATGAAACAAGAATGCCATTATCCTCACTTCAATTACAAGTTGAATCATCACTTAGGAGTGAGACCCGGATTTAAAACTCAGGTCTCCCAGTGCCCACCCAAGTGGAGAAGAAATGGTGACAGCATAAATCCCAGGAGTACTTCCCTCTGCCCCTCAACAGCACCCAAGAGACCCACTGGGGGATGCTCAGGGGACCTGGGAGAAGATGACATCTATCTCACAACACAGCCTCTGCTGGCATGACTCCCATGGCTAGCTAGGCTATCACCCTGGCTACCCTGAGTAGACACAGGCACAACTCTAAGGTCATTTCCAATTTGCTGCCCCAGTGTACAGGGTCCCTGGGGCACTGCACAGCCATCTCATCCAGAGGGAGAGCCACATAGCCCTCTCAGTATCTTTGTGGGGGAGCTGTTCAGCAGACAAGCCCCCTGGGCCACCCCCAGAAAGATGGCCCCTGCGAGCTGGCCCGTCTGCTTTGCTGGCAAGCTGTCTGGCCACTTCCTAGAGATCTGAAGAGTCCGTCACTGTTAACTGCCTTCCCACTTTCCAGAACGCCCATGGTTAACACTGGTGGTTCAAATCACAAAACCAGATTCCCAGCTCTCAAATAATGAGCCCCACAGAGGGGCTGAGACACATTGTGGGAAAGAGGAACAGAGGAAATCAAATGAACAGAGCATGTAATCTTGTATCCTTGGTGGGTGGCATGGGCTTATCAGTCACAAAGGAATGAAAAACACTATCGCTGCTAATGTAATCTCAAGTTCAAGGAGAAAAAGAAGTAAAAAACTGAGTGCCAGCAATTTATTTCTTAAAATTACACTCTTGAATTCATAGTGACTGGCCTAGAAAAACAACAGAAATCTTCAGCTCTCTGAGTGGGGGAAAACTGGCCGGCATGCTCCCTCAAGTGGTGGGGTCAGCATGCCTCTGATGCACCATGCACTTCGTACATCCAGCATGTCCTAGCCTCAAGGCCAGGTTAGGCTCTTCTCCCCATGCAGTGGCCAATAAGTGTAATGCAGTGACAGCTCCTCAGTTTACAGGAGAGCCCAACGCTGCCGTCAGGCCTCTCCAAGCACTGCGTGCCTGTGAGCGGGCTCCCAACAGTTCTGCATCTCACGGGCCCCTTCTCACCACTAGCCCACACTGACCAAAGCTTCCACCCAGCTCTACATTCAAACGAGTGCCTCAGCATCCCCAAACCCCTGTGGTGCCCCCCCTGCCCCACCGAGAAACTGTGTGAGACACAACATTTGATGACCAAAGGTCTAAAAAACCCAGGCCCTGTGTACTGTGCTGAGATGTCCCTCAAAATTCTGTCCTTCCCAGGACCTCAGAATGTGACCTCCCTTAGAAATAGGGTCTTTGCAGATGTGATTAATTACATTAAGATGAGGTCACACTGGAGTACAGTAGGCTCTAAATCCATTTTGACGGGTAGCCTTATAAGGAGAGGAGGAGACACAGGGAGAAGATGGCCATGTGACAACAGAGGCTCAGGGACAACATGGCTGTGTAATGATGGAGACACAGGGAGAAGACATCCAGCTGACAATGGAAACACGGAGAAGACGGCCATGTGAAAACAAAGACACCAGGAAAAGATAGCTGTCTGAGGATTACTGAAGATGTCCGTGTCACCCAGTCTGCAGAGGCAGCAGAGACTCAGGTGGGCATGACAAAGTAGCCAATGCCCACACTGGCCACTGTTCAAGCTCAGGGCTCAGTAGTTTGATCCATTCATTCGTTTCATTTGTTGTTTTGAATAACAATCAGCAATACAGATTAAACAGGGCCAAAAGGAAAAAAGTCCAACAAATACTTTTAACCTTTCAAAATTCCACCTGGATTTTAATAGTGAGAAGGCAGCAATTTGCAATGGTTCTAAAGGAGGGAGAGCTCAGAAGGCGGCCAACTTCCCCGTGTGCAGGGAAATACGACTTGTCCATTCTGACCATGCTGGGCCTTCCCTACATCACTCGGACTCCCTGAGCACAGCCATGTCCACTCATCCCCATCCCCATTCCCATCCCCATCCCCATCCCCATCCCACCCCCATGTGCTTCTGCTCTGAGTACCACCTGCCCAGCTTCCCCACCACTCCTATAGAATGTTCTCCAAGCCTCTGCCTAACAACCTGTGTGTCACAGCCTGTACCTATGTTCCAAGGCACCTCTCCAAATCATCAGCACTGCTTGCAGGTAGCCCTATGACTCCCTATGGGAACAGTGGCCCACTACCCAGAGGCCATCAGACCTGCACAATGCTAGGCCTGATCCAGGCCACTCTCAGAGCCTTTGCATATGCACTGTTCTCCGTCAGGGCCTTCAACCACTGCAGCATGGTCAGCCTCCCTGTGACACACTGTTGGGCTGTGGCTGTTCACATGTATCTGACTGCATACTGTGCAGTTGGGAACTACTTCTTGTTCATCTTTACATCCCAACAGCACCTTGCACTATGGGTTATGCTGTCATACACTGTCACATGGTATCCCATCACCATGCCAACCCATGTGTTATAAGGTTGCACATACATTTGTCCCATCAGATCTGAGTAGTGCCCTCTGCACTAGGCATCATGCTCTAAAGCATGGGTTGGTAGACAGTCGGCATGCCCCTGTCTGCTTCTGAAAGTCACATTTATGGAACACAGCCATGCCTACTTGTTTACATCTGGTCTGTGGCTGTTTCAGACTGAGTAGTTCACAACACAGACCCTAAGCCCGCAGCCAGCATATCAACTGCATGTCCCTTGGGAAAAGTCTGCCAACTCCTGCAACACTGTTCTGAAAACTGCTTTATCCCCACCTGAAGGGCTGATGGCAGCTGGTTGCACAAGCAGTTTCTCAGTAACCTACTCAAAATAATTCTCAGGGTCTGAAAGGCCCACACTCCCAGTGTCTATTCCATGGGCTGGGCACCAAGCAAGTTACTAAATGAAATGCTCAAACCAGAAATCACTCTCCTTGCTCTGTGACTAGTTCTGATGCCAGCATCCTCTCCACCCCAACAATGGAGGTCTGACTCACCCCGGAAACCCTGCCTCACAGGGCCCACCCTCCAGCCAGGTCTTTCCTTAGAGAGGTGAGCAGAGAAGCAGCAGCCCACACTTACACCGGATGCCATAGATGGTGAGGGGGTCGAGCTGCTTCTTGCCGTGCTTCCCCTGGCCTGAGAGGTTGGAGACAGCCTGCACCTCCCGGTGAAAGAGGTAGTCCAACAGTGTCAGCGCCATCTTCTCGGCTGTGCGGCAGTTGGTGCTGATGTGCAGCATATCAGAGGGGATGATGGCACAGCGCACCCGCATCTCAGGGTTGTTCTCGTCTCCCAGCCAGGTGCCGTTGGGGTAGTCCTCTGAAAGAGAGAAGGGGAGTCTCAGACAAGCTCACACACTCCAAAGGGCCCAGTATTCAGCTCAAATGCACACAAGAAAGATCCATGGGGTCTGGTCAACAAATCACTTTCCCAACTTCCTAAGTGTCAGCCAGGAGGGCTAGGGCAATTCCTGTGGTCACCAAACAATGTGGGATCTTATGTCCGATCAAGAACAGAAATGAGGACATCATTCCCAAAGGATAGGCCTGGGTTTCTGTTTATCCATCTCAGGGAGATTAATGCAACATGTTGTAACATGTAAATGTTCTTCTGCTTGGGAAACTGGCTTCCCTAGGGCTAAGCCCACCTTGTTAACTCACGAAGGCAGAGGGCTGTGTGTTGTCGGCATGTTCTCCACCCAACAGCTTGCCCAGAGCTCACAAGTCTGATAACAGGTGGCTGCAGAGACCCCTCAGTGCCAGATGACAATGCTGCCTGGACCTGACACACACAGGCCTGTGTGTCTAGAAGAGGTGACACTGGACAAGCTCTAGTCTCAAAACCTGGATTCTCTTTACAACTCCAGCAGGGTAAAGAGCTTTTAGAAAGACTTGTGTTTATTTTCAAGTTCACCCCACATCTGGAGGGGCAGCAAATTAGAGTGGGCTGAGAGTGCCAACATCAGGGATTAGGGAGGGAGGCAACTTGCAGAACAAACTTGCTCAGGTTCTGACTGTGAATCTGCACCATCAGTACAGGACAATCACAAGCAGTGTTTCATCTCCAGATGAGAACCAATGCGCAATCCTGTGTTTAGAAGACTCTGTGACTCAAGTCTCCACTTGGAAAACTGCTCCGAGAAGAGGCCACTTGGAAGCTGGGTACATCTTAAATGAGACAAGCTATTTACATGATGTAAGCTGTTGTTCTGACCTGCTGAGGACTTGGGCGGCAGGCAGCTCAGCATGAATAAAGGGCTCAGGGGATGCTAAGCTGCCCACACTCCTCTCCTCAATCTGAGTCCTCCCACTGTCCTGCTGTGTGACCTTCACTCCCTCCCTCGCTCCCCTGACCTCCCAGCAGTGAACCTGGAAGTATACAGATCAGAAACACCTTCCAACCTCCTGCTCAGAGCATCATGATCCCTTCCTCTCCTCATGACCAAATTTCCTTTCCTGTCACTTGTTCCTTCCAATAACCCTGTGGAATGCACCATTTGTGATTTTAAAATCTGAAAGGTCACTAATAACAGAATGAACACCCCCCAAGCCTTGCATCTACATTCCCCAGCCTTTGTCTTTCTCAAGGGTAGTCTAAAATGTAAACACCAGAGCTCAACATTCATATGTGGGAAGGATCCCACTTTCTCTACCTTCAGAAAGGCCACAGTGATAATCACGGGTCAGGTGTGTGGCTGATGTAGAGAGAGAGGAGGGAGGGCAATGAGGTGGGTAACTCTCCCTCCCACACAGGAGAAGCACTGCACTTAAGAACTATCAATTCTGGCCCAGCTGGCATGGCTTGGCGGTTAAGCATCAATCTGTGACCCAGGAGATCGCGGCTCAATTCCCAGTAAGAGCACATTCCTGCATTGTGGGCAAGATCCCCTCTCTCCGAAATCAATAAAGATATACTTAAAAAAAAAAAAAAAAAAGAAAAGAAAAAAAGAACTATCAATTCTGCCTGGAAACTTGGCAGCTTTCCAAACAATCTCTTCTTACCCTAACGTGGGAGCAAGTTAAGGTACAAGAGATAGTCCCTGTGCAAATACACCACTGTGAGAGGGGAGGAACGTTGACAGGGAGTTAGAACCTCCCTCTGGCTGGCAGGGATCTCAGAGGGACACCAGCTTTCTGCTAAGTGTCCACTAGGCCTGTGGGCTGCCAAGTCATGTCACAGCCATAGTCACCATTGCTTCAAAATGTCTCATTAACTTTATTCTGAAACACCCAGAATAAAATATTCTGATAATTTACATTCCAGCTTCCACCCACAGGAGAGGTCCCCAGAAAGGGTGGCCAGGCTGCCAGCTTCGCCAAAGGCCTGGAGCAGAGCAGAAAACCAAGGGGCTAGCTGTACATGACTCCTACACCCTGCCCCTTCACAGGCAGCCTCTCCCAGCCGAGCTCCTGAATCATGAGATTTCCAGGAACATCAGGTGAGGCTTGGCAACCCTGGCAAGATGACCCCATTGTCACTAGGGCAGACTGGCCATTGAAGAACTGCTTAGGGTGGTTGAGGCTAGGCTCCTGGCTTTGGCTAAGGCCAGAAAACAACTCACAAATCTAATTTTTGGAGCTAAGAGTAAAAGATGAGTAAGCAGTATCATTTCCCAGAAACATCGATGGTTTAGAAGTGGAGAGGTGCCATGAGCATATGCTCAGATATATGCATTTTTCTGAATGTCAGTCAGCTACTATTACATTTAGCCTATCTACAGAGAAACAAAATGAACACATGATCTAAATATGGATGAGATAGGACTTCTAGAGGGGCTGTCTTGAGGTCTTAGCTGGAATGCCAAAAGGGCTCCAACTTCTGGGGCACTTATTAATTTATCTACAAATACTTGACTGGGCAACTCTACCCCTGGCACTGAGTCTAATGCTCAGGATCTAGACCGTCAGTGAACCCAGAACCAGTCTTAATTACACCAAACAGAGAAAAAGAACCACCCTCCATCTGTAGCAGTCAAGCCACGGAAGCAAATAGAGGGAGGGGGAGGGAGAACAGAGGGAGGGAAGTGGAGGAGAAAAGGTACAGGGAAGGAGGAGGAGGGGAGGGAGGCTGCTACAGAGAAAACGGCAGGTGCTAAAGCGGAAACAGGAGTCTTCTGGGACCGGGAAGTTATACTTTGTTTCAAAACATGGTTAGAGACAGTTAATGAACTCAGTGGGACTAAATATTCATGCCAGAGTCCTTGGGACACGATGCAAAGGTGTGCCCCAGACACAGTGACCTAAAGGAGCAGCAGGACTCCAGAGGATTGGAGGATAAGAGCTGGAAGGCCATCCATGCTTCTCCTTGGCAGTGGAAGGCTCCCTGACACAAACTCTGTCCCCTGATGCCAAACCCGCCAAAACACACCATACTGCGAGTTCCAATTAGATCAAGCCTGAGAGGCTGAACCCCTTGAAGACGTTTAGCACTGCATGATGGAGGTCTCTGAGGAGTGGAGGCTGATTAGCGAGGAGCTGGCTAGAATGCAGGATTCCTGAGATCCTCTGGGTGACTGGCTGCCTCACCAGCCAGTTTCCCCACATCTGGTTCAGAATCACCTCCTCACTGCTCTGGGTCAAGTTGTAAGTGAACACACTGAAATTCGCCGATACATCTCATGGACATCTGACAACCTAAGTCAGCCAGAGGAGCTGCCCATACTGAGCTGATGAGCAGAGGGGACAGAGGGCACAGTAAACAGAGAAGTGGCAGCTGCAAGGCAGGAAGCGTCACACAGCAGAGGGCAGAGCTGACCACTTTTAGATGGAGACCAGAGCCAGCCTCAGTAACAATGGGACTGCAAGCAGCCACCCCTGGGGAAGAACCACAGAAAAGGTTCCAGATGGGGGAGCATTTCGAATGTCCTGGACTGGGAAGGGCCATGTGCTCTGGGAATGAAATGGAGCTAATGTGGCCAGAGCAGGAAGAACTGGGCAAAGAGGTGCATACAGAGGACTGAACAGGGAGTGACACAATCAGTGCTGAGAACAAATGAATGGGAAACAGAGCAACAGAGGGCACAAGTGACCACTTCTGGGCTACTTAGCAGTCCAGGAAGAACCCATGCACATGGGCATTAAGTCTCAGGACAGGGCCTGTGGTGGTTGAACCTTCCCACGTTCAAGCACTGATGCTAACCAACTGCGAATACAGTCAGACCGAAGGTAGTATCTAGTGATACCATGCATATTGAAACTTAAGTGTTTGAACAGGAGAATCCCATGTGAGCCCGCAGGGAACCACTAGGGGTACTGGGCGATGCTGCCCTGCCTCCCTGATGGGCAGTTACACTGCACACGGGCCAGTGCAAAGACGGTGTGCTGGAGCTCTCAGTCTAACTACCAACACTGCCAAAGATTGAGTGGCCATTTTCAGGAATAACTAGTGAAGCGGACTCTGCTTAGCAAGCTCTCCATGTTTACATAACATATTTAAAGCAATGTAAACATTGGACAAGAGCTCAGTGTTGTTTTCCAAATAGCAAGTCAACATCCTGTCAAAGTGATACTGAGTGTGTGTGTGTGTGTGTGTGGAATGCCAACAGGGAAGCCCTTCAGTGAAGAAGGGCTGACAACTCGAGGTCTCTGTAAACTCACAGTGTTTACTTATTTCTTACTCCAGCCCAGAGAACCAGCTTCCTATCGGGATGCCCTCCATACTCATCCTCTCCTTCCACCACAGCCATGCCCTCTACACCATGAGGTCTCCCACTGGCACCATGGTGTACAGGCCCTGCCCAGGCTCTCGAATCACAGGCAGGGAGGAAGCAAGGGGGCTTCTGACGCTCACACACCTGTGCTAGGAGCACTCCACCTTGTCCAAACCCAATACTTTGCACTGGTGCTGAACCAGTGACATGCAGGAGAAAAAGCCATCCTTCCTCCAAACATCACCCACTGAAGAGCCTCACAGCTCCAAAAACAGTCTAAAAAATATGCCTGCAGGCCAGCATTGTGACTTTACATTTACACAGGCACAGGAAACACACGTGTAAAGGCAGATATTTTCAAACTGATTCAAGAGGAAGAATGAAAAAATGACTTCATCTATTCAACTTAATTATTTTGAAGGCAAAACATGATGTTAAATTAACAACAACAAAATTTACAAATGAAAAGTTAAGCTAGCATCTTTTTATGTAAAAAATAATCATCACTGCCCAGCTGGCATGGCTCAGTGGTTGAACATCGATCTAGGATCTAAGAGATCCCGGTTCGATTCCGTCAGGGCACATGCCTGGGTTGTGGGCTCAACTCCCAGTGGGGGACGTGTAGGAGGCAGCCACTCAATGACTCTGTCATTACTGATGTTTCTATCTC